GGCTGATACTAACTTGTCACTATGTAATTTTGAGACCAATTTACATCTTGTATTTAATTTTAGAAGCATTAAATTTTATTTTCTTATATTTTTAAAAAATGTGAATAACTAATCTCAATGCTATTTAATTCTTTTTTTTATGTTTATAAACCTCTTTTTGCTCAAGTTATAGTAGAAGTGCTAATTTTTTAATTGATGGTTTAATTTGCTTGATTTTTTTATTTTATGTTTTTTTATAAGTATTTGGCTATTTGTTTTTATCATTTAGGTTTATTTATATTTATTATTTATATTTTACTTTTAATTTGTTTCAGTTTCTAGCAAAAATTATTAAAATTCATTGATTTCTTACAGAATTTATATCTAATTAGTGATTCTTTTTGCCAATTAAGTTACATCTTTTTCTTCTTTTTCTGTTTGAGAAAGTTCAGTTGGTAACCTCTACTGAAAATAGAAGTAGGACCTTTTCATTATGAAAAATATCTTATATCTATTGGACTCTGATTGTCTTGTATTTCTTGTTTTAAACTTAATCAATTTTTATTATTCTTTTCAAAGATACTTTGAAGAATTTTCCTAAAAGACTTTTGAAAGTAATTCAAGTCAATTTTCTATTTCTATCTTAAATCATAAGAGACATCTTTATTCTCTAAGCATAGGGTGCTAAACTTATTGTAAAATTAAATTAAATTAAGAAAGAAAAAAACACAAAATTGAATTTTCTATCCTTAAAACATGTGATAACAACATAACTAGCCAAATATTCTATTTTTGCTTGTAGAACATTCTCATCAATTTTGATAGTCCTAAGCTTAGTTCAAAATAAAGACTTTATATATCTTTCTAAAAATCTTTCAAATAGGTAGTTACTAGATAAGATAAGATTTCTATGGGCTTTTAGCATATTGGTGTGCTTAAAATACTTCTGCAAGTTTGTACTTTTTAATACAATTTTATACTATTTTGTCAAAATAATGTTCTATGCCACATTTTAAAGACTATTCTTTTACTATTATCATATTTTTTTCCTTTTTTTGAATATGAAATACTAATAATAATATATTCTTTAAAAATTTTATATGACATTATCTTTTCAATTTTTCTTTTAAGACCAATTGTTGTAAAGAAAATCATTTATTATAAAAATACTCAATACATAGTCTTTTCTTTTAGTGTGTATATTTTTAAGTCTTATAAATTTGACTAAATAATAATTAAAATCTTAGTTGTAATTACTAATTTTTAAAATTCTAAAATTAAAAGATTTTATATGATGTGGATCTATTGTAAGTCCAATGCCACATCAATTAAACTTATTGAGAGCCTACCCTACAAAATCTACTCAAGTTCGTAATTATGTCTCTAAGACTTTTATTAAGAGTTTTTTTTTCAAAATAAGTTTTTAACAAAGATTTTTATATTTCAAAAAAAGTAGATTTTTAACAAAGTCTTGTATGCTTAGAAACATATATAAGAAATATGATCAAATTCTTACTAAAATATAATCAAGTAATACAGACTCTTAATATTTAATTTTATAATATAATTTTTTACTTAGGTATTTTTAAAATAATAAATAAAGATTATTACATTAAAGTAAATAATTTCATATAAAAATTTAGATTAATTATTGATAAACTTTAAATCTTTAATTTTATAAACTATTACATATTAATAAATTGCTTTTCTTTATATCATATGTAATTAATAAATAATATCCAAATTTGCATCTATTTTTGTGACCAGATTTTTTAATACACTGTTATTTATTTAGTACAAGCTTTGATAATTTATTTTTTTTATTTGATCATTTTGAAGAATAGAATCTAATATTCTTGTAATTTAGGAAGTTAATCTAGTCCATCAATTCTACTCAATTGATCCATTTATCTAAACTTTTTTAATTCCTAAGCACATTATATAATAGAAAATCCTATGTAAATTCCAACTCTAGTTATAAATAAAATCTTATTTTTTATAAATTATAATATTAAATCCTAATTAAATTTGTGTCCAAAATATAAATTTAACTCTAAATATTAAGTATTAAATTCTATTTATAACATACCCAAAGAAAATCTTGGTAAATTATAATCCTAAATTCTAATTCTAATAAATCTTAAGTAATTCAAATAAATATCCTAAATTTCTTAAATCTAAATTTTAATTTTATTATTTATCCAAAAATCTTAATTTTAAATTCCAACTCTATTATTTGTACAACAATTTGAAATCTTAATTGTAAAAACAGATTTGAATTATCTTAACAAAATATTATAATGTATACTTTTATACAAACCAAAATTAGATCTAAATAAATTTTTTGTATATATATATATATATATATATATATATATTTACTATGTGAAATCTAATATATTTTGTGTAATTTTGTTTTTATACAATTTAATCTTATTCTTTTAGAGTAGCATTTTTCAAAAGGAAGAATTCGTTATTGCTTATTTTAATTTGAAACTTCGTAGTTCTTTATATCTTGCATTATTAATAGCTTTATCTATTACTATCACTTTTATGGTTGTAATTGTCATTTTTTATTCAATGTTTTTGCATAGAGTATTATATTTATATTTTCTTTAAATCACTTCTAGTCATTGTTGTTTGATTTAGGCATTATTTCTCTTTTACTTCATTTTATTCATGCTGTCTTAGATGGGATTATAATTTTTTAGTTTATTCTTCTTCATTGCTTCCTATAGCTTGATAATTGGAATGCATATATATATATATATATATATATAATTTGCATGTTATTTTACAAGTTCTCCTATAATCTCTTAATAAACATAGTTATTTAACTTTTAAAATTATTGTTTCTTTTGTTTAAAAGATCTAAAGTTGATAAAATCAATCTCAATTTAATTCCTAGGTATTTAATGAATAATACTTAGAATGTAAGTGTGTTTTTGAGTCAGATTTAATATTATACATATAGATTTGTTTTACTAACTATTTGCTACATATTTTGTTGACTTTTAATCATACAATTTTTAATTCTATTTTAGAATTTTAAGATTTAGAATTATAATTACACAAATATAGTTTTTTTTTATTACTACCTTTATTCTTACATTCTTAACTTTAATATGAAACCTTAATAATTTATATTTTTACTTCCAATTCTTAATTATGAAAATATAATTTAATTGGTGAGTCTCTAATCTAAACCATCTTAGAAGATTATTTTTATTTATTTATTTATTTCTAATTGCTAATTTCAAATTTATTGAGATTCTAGTATCTTCTATTCTTTTGCATTATTTATTTGTTTGTATAAGTCTATATTATAGATGAATTAGTAAATTTAAAAATACTTATATTTTATAAATATAAGGATATCAGAATAATTAAAATTTTCTAAAATAATATTATTAACTACTTAATATTTGATTAAAACTTAACATTATTTTTTAGATTTATTTATATTTAAATTATTGTTATTTTGGTTATTATCTTGATTTTTCTTCATTTTAAAGTTAAAATTTATAAATTTCATGGCTTAGTCTTATAAAAATAATCACTTTTTCTAATTATTTTATTATTTCATTTTACTCATATTCAATTCATAATTTTTTTAGAACAAATATTAATGCTTTATTTTATTTTTTACAGTATTTTTATAATGTTTTTAAATTTCTATTTTAGTTTTTATTTCTTTTACTTATTAAAGTTAATGAAAATCTTATTAAGATTAATTATTTATGTTTTTTGATAATTATATACTATATGTTTTCAATTTTCAATTTTTATCTAATTCTCTAATAAATCATTTCTTCAATATGGATGTAACATTGTTTTACATGTTGTGAAGGCAGAATGCTTACTTTTAATACAAGCTCTATTTTTGTATGTGTGAATAACATACAATTTATATGGATTTAGACTATTCCATGGCTAGATGTGAGAAACATGTCTTACATACATGACACAAGTTTGATTGCAAAATAATTAGTAAATAAATTCCTTGATTTCAGTATTTAGATATCATTTTGAAGGTGGAGAGATAGAGACCGATTCCTGTGAAGGACTGAGGGCGACATTGGAAGATGTGAAGCTGTGCCAAGACTGCGAAAACGGTATGGAACTAAACCCACCAAGGCCACAAAATGATTCGAAGCCCATTTGAAAAAAACCTCAAAATAAATATTATATAAATAAAAACGCTTCTTCTAGATGTGCTCTGAGAAGCACATCGCCTGAGGAAGTTGAGCACATCTAGAAACAACGTCGACAGATTCCCCGAATGCTGCGTTGGATCATCATGCAACAATGTAACAAAGAGTTAAAAACTGCTCAGCTGCGACAGTGTGGAGTGAGTTGCAAAGGTGAGGGCTTGTAAGCTTTTTTTTCCCGAAGGTTGGTTGGTCGGTGAGGATTTGACCTTGGGATGATAGATATTCAAGGAAGAGGAGTTTTATCGCCAGCGCCAAATGGGCTTGCAAAATGGGATTTTGCGGGGTGAAATGGGAGGACGATGGGTGGCTGCAACAATACATGCAGTAAGTAAGCCACGGAAAGCTTGCAGCAAAGTCTGGAGGCAGGGCAGGAATTTAATGAGCAAGTGGTGACGTCAGAAGCACCACGCACAGCCTTGAGGGGCTTCTTTCCGTGCCAAAAATAGCACTGGTTCAGAAGCAGCTTTCTGCCCTACAAGGCCACTAGAAGCCACAATAGAAAACAAGCATAAAACAATAAAAAAATAATAAAAACACACACGGTTTTCTTCCTGAGAGCCTTCCTACCCACCAACTCGCACTACGGAAACATGCGACGTCAGTAAGTTCGACAACGCCGCTCCGGTAAGTGCTGGACTGCTACAGTACCTATGATCTAAATCAGACATATTTACTTTTTTTGACTCCGTAGTCACTGACGTTGTTACTCGTAAGCTCCATTCGCGGTGCCATCACTCTGCCAAGACTACAACCTCAAAATAAAGACAAGGCAGGGTTGTGAGGGGATTGTGCACAAGCCGATTCAGCTCCGGAATGATCTTGTGTGGATGCGACTGTTGAACAGCCTCTCGGAATGGGTTGCATTTGGAACCTTGGGGCGTTCGCGGGAGACTATTCACCATCCATGCATCCTGCTCCGCGCGAGCGTAACCTCACGTTTTGCCAGCAATTCGCTAATGATGCGAATGTAATCGACTCGCGAGCTGGTAATGTTAAGTTGGGTAATAAATGGACATGAACGTTCAGATATAAAAAGTATGTGTACGTTGAAGGAGCGTGTTTGACGATTGGTGACGCACCGGCAACCCGACCTTCTGGGCCCGACCAGTCACCCTCTTGGGGTTCATGTCCTTCCAGCTTTCACGCTTTCCGCAGCTATTCCATCTCGCGTTTCCCTTCTTCTCTTTTGCACAACTCTATTTGTCTAGTTAGTCCACTAATTGCAAAAACCCCCTTGAGAGAAGCTCAGCTGAATTCCGCAGGCGCTTTGGTCCCCATTAAGCTTGCTATCAGATGTATGAGGACTCGCATTGCGCTAATCCGGAATTAACCGTGCTGTGATGAGGACAGTCAGTGAAACGGTGACGCTTGCGATTGACAGGAGTAAGTCATGGCGCTGTGTTCTGCAGGGATTCCGTGTTGGCACTGAAGCTGTTGTCGAAGGAAGTAGTGGTCAGCATTGAGTCATTTATGTCCCAGGGTCCTCTCAGGCTTGCTCTTCGAAGTAGATTTTGCGAAGGACGGTGTAGTTGCGCTTGTTGTTTGCCAGCTGTGATTTCGCATCATGGGCACCGATTTGCGCTCCATTGCTTTCTAGCGCTTTGAGCTTGGGTGTCTGGCTGATTGGGAGTAAGCCGGGCAAGGCATTCGGTGAAATCTTGTAACACAGATAAGCAGCCTTAGCTACTTGCAGACACGACAGTGCAATTGCGGCAAGGAATTGATCGATTCACTTCTCGTACACTGTTTTTGAACTTTAATATGCTCCATAGATTTCATATGGAGATGTTTAATTCGTGTAGAGTAGAATATATGTTTCGAATCCCACTAACTAGGTCGGACATGACGCGATATTCTAGTAGGATTAGAATGCACAGGTGGCTATGGATGCAAGCAGCCATAGCTGTACTCACAATGTTGTTTGCAAGGGGGCCTGGCGTCCACGGACAGGATTTAGGAACATGGGAATTGCTTGTAGATAATGCAGGTATAGCAGCTATGCACGCCGCGGTCACCCGCTTCGGAACCGTGGTGCTTCTAGATAGAACCAACACTGGAGCATCTCAAATTGCCTTGCCAGGTACGTAACAGGCACGCTCTTCATAGCCTATGCGTCTGAATTATTCCAGTCATTGCAACATACAAGCCAGCTAAACAATCCACCGAGAAGCAATCAAATTCGCCCATCAACACGTCCTCCGTGTTCGAAAGCAAGCAGTTCCTGTTTAGTTCCCTAGTGTGCAGTCGACCCAGTCATGGACAGCTGCAATTGGGTTTTCTAGGTTTGCCAGATTGCGCATCATCCATCCATTGCAGTGCAATAAACACGAACTCCTTTTCTATGTCAGAGATCAATTGCACGCTAATCGTATTGCTAACCATGATTGCCAATCACACTTTCTCCAGACGGTGTGTGCAGGGACAGTAATGACATGGTCTTGAAGCACGATTGCACTGCACACTCCGTGTTGTTCGATCCCAGTACCAACTCTGTCCGCCCCCTGACGATTCAGACTGACACCTGGTGCTCCTCCGGACAGTTCATGCCTGATGGCACGCTCATGCAGACCGGTGGAGACTTTGAAGGTGTCAGAAAAGTCAGGTCTCTACTACTCTCTATACGCTTCTCATGGTTGTACCTTCCCGAGGTTTAACAGGCAATCATAGTCCCTCGGTTCCTGCAATCACCGCAATGCAGTACTTTAGCCTTGTAATCAACATCGATCCTCACATTCTTCTTCATTTCCTCCCTACTAGCTGAAGTTAATCTACAAACTTGCACACAAGCTTGGTACATTTACAACGAAAAGTCTGAGTAGGTTGAACAGAGAATGTTGAAATTCCTACCACCGCGGAAAGAGCGTGTTATTGCTACCTGCAGAACCCTTTTCTGACGTTACCCGTCGATCACTTTAGCGCTTCAGAGAGTATTCTAACATGTTTGTGTTCATGGTCATCGACCAGAACGTTCACTCCATGTCCAGCAACTGAGACATGTGATTGGGTAGAGTCTACGGAACTGATACTAGCATCACCGCGATGGTATGCTACCAATCAGCTCTTACCTGATGGGCACCAGATTATCATCGGAGGAAGGTCGGCATTCAACCTCGAGTACATGCCGCCATCCGCTGCTAGCAGCGCAGCAGCTCTCTACTTCGATTTCCTGAACGCAACTAACGATGCGCAGAATGACAATCTCTACCCTTTCGTACACCTTCTGCCGGACGGGAACCTCTACATCTTCGCCAATCAGGATTCGATCGTTTACAACTATGTGGCCAACGCTGTGGTGAAGCGCTTCCCGAAGATTCCGGGAGGACCTCGCAACTACCCTTCAGCTGGCTCCTCGGTTATGCTACCTCTGCTGGCGTCGAATCAATTCTCGACTGTGGAGATTCTCGTCTGCGGGGGTGCGCAGTATGGCGCGTATCTGGAGCCATGGAAGCATTTGCCTTGTTCCACCACGTGTGAGAGGATCACAGTGACAGACATTGATCCCATTTGGGTCGAAGAGATCATGCCTGTCGCTAGGTGCATGGGAGACATGGTCCTTCTGCCCACTATGGACGTCCTCATCATCAACGGCGCTGCGAAAGGTGAGGGTCCGCAGCGTGCTCGGCTCAAATTTCCTCTCCTAGCAACCAATGCAGTGTGAGGAATTAGGGTTGCTCATGTCTCCTTTCATTGATGTCTGCAGGATCGCAAGGTTGGGGAAACGCTATCGAGCCTGTCTTGAATCCGGTTCAATACTCCACATACGCTGCACCTGGAGAACGATTCACAACTATGGCCCCGTCCACGATCCCTCGCTTGTATCATTCCACCGCGAGTTTGCTGCAAGTAAGCACTGGCTTCGTAATCTCTAAACCCACTGAATTCCTCAGCCTTGAGCTTTTCCAATTGCCTCACGGAGCTTGCCAACTGAACCCCAACTGGCTGTTTGCCCATGTGTCAGGATGGCCGGATTCTTTTAGCAGGGAGCAACTCCCACCAGTTCTACACATTCACAGGAGACTTCCCGACTGAGTTACGAATTGACGCTTTTTCCCCGCCTTACCTTGCCCCTTCACAGGCCGGCAACAAACCTACGATCAGTGTCTACCCCCTTGTGATCACCTACAGTGCTCCATTCACTGTGACGGTGAGCGCACCTTTGGCCATGGCAGGGGTGTCAGTTAATCTCATCAGCGCGCCCTACAACACACATTCCTACTCTCAAGGGCAGCGCCTTGTGAGCCTGAATGTCGGCGGGATTGTGCAAGTGGCGCAAGCGAGCGTGTACCAGATCACCGTTACCGCCCCTCCCAGTCCCAGTGTAGCACCCCCGGGGTACTACATGATGGTTGCGGTGAATCAAGGTGTGCCGAGCTCGGCTGTATGGATTCAGTGCTCGCAAGGGATGTGAGTCAGGTTTGAATCCTCTACACGAAAAGAGTAGGGGTAGGCTTCATCTGGTTGAGAATCCCTGCAGTTTTAACGTCACAGAGCTGCGAAATCCATCTCTACATAGTTTTCTGCCTTTCGACATTGAATGATTCCACGACTGTGGGTCCCATCACAAGGCATGTCGAATTGGAAATAGATTACCTCTGTGAGAGAAGGCAGAGATATTATGGATCACCAGGGGAAGGTTGTGAACCTGCACTGTCTGCTTGGAGAGGGCAAGGTTGTGAACCTGCACACCGGCTTGTATATTAAAGAACTTCTATACAGACGAATACAGGAGGTAGAGAATAAAATTTCCACACCCTCCCACATTTGCATGGTCGGCAACGTCGTCGACGCAAACAGCTTCATCGGCGTGCACAATGCCGGAGACAACCAGCGTGGGCTCCTCTCCGTTCGAGGCAGCACACAAAAAAACCTTGCCCGCACCGTAATGCAAAACTTGCACAGCTTCATCAAGGGTTGGGTCCTCATCACATACCTCTCTTTGCTTTCTTCGCCATTCCTCTTAGTTCTTCCATGAGTGGTCCACAAACTCTATCTCATCGTACAGACGGGGATTGGATCAACACGAGGTGGGTAGACTGAGCACAGCTGCTGTGCCGGGACAAGTCAGTCAATCCTGCAGCGCTAAGGTATGAGAAAAAAGGTTGTTGAAATCCTCTTCTTTCCTCCCATGAGCAAGCTTCCATATGCAAAAAGCTGTAAGAAGCAAGGTGGAGGGAGCTCAACCTTCTCCATGGACTTGAGCAACAACAACACCTCAGAAAACATCACTTCAGACACACACGGCGTCATGGAGAGGGCATGTGGGTAGCGGTGAAAGGGATTCAGATATGAAAAAAATGTATATTTCTCCTTCAATAATACAATTCAATCTGATTACTGCATCTCCTGATGATTATTCTTATTCTTATTATATGTTTTGATTAAGTGTATCAATCAATCAGGTTGAGGTACAATTACCTCAGATTAGAAATGCTTGTGTAGTAGTGGAGGGCCAAACTCCAGCTATTGTACATTGTATTTCCCTACTGTAACGGCCCCACTTCCATTCAGCCTTAAGGCTGCTTATTTCAGATACCTGTCTGTCATCTTTTTCTCTTTGCAAGACTGCAGTCGTGCATGTACAGTTTGCTATGGTTGTTGCACCTTCGTTACTTCTACGACTTCTAGTCTTGTAAAGTTGGGTGATGGGTTGTGATGAGAAGAGTTTGTGTATTATTAAGTCTAGTTGGGGCTTGACACCTCTTAAAAATTAAATTAAAAAAAGAAAAAGAAAAGAGAAAAGCATTGTATGTCTGCCGCTACTTTCAATAGAGAGTGGGTCACATTGTATTGCAGGCTGGGTGGATAAGTGTTTCCTTGAGATAATAATAGATTTTTAATTGTTTTGATTTATCAGAAGAATGGAAGTCGATAATGAAGAAAAAACCATATATTATAAATTTGCAAGTCAACAATAAATAAATATATATATATATATATATATATGTGCATGAAAGTTGAATTTGAATTTGAAGTGTGAATCATGCATGACAGAATACAGCATACAGCGTTACCTTTGGTAATATGATGATCATTATATTATTGTACCAAAGATTTGTGTTGAGAAACCTATGGAAATTGTCAAACTTAATTAAGTGCAAAACGAAATGAATATTTTGATATAGCTTAAAATTTCACAAATTTCATGAAAAGCGTCTTCAAGTCCAAAAAAAAAGAACAGTGTTAGTTAGATAAATGTCTCTTTAATTCAAATAATTAAAAAATAATAAACACGCATACACACACAATTAATTATTACAAAACCTAGTATATTCCGACATTAGAAGTAGATTTTGTAATCTTATTAAAAATAATTGTTTAGTTCCTTGTTTTTATCTCAATATAAAATTTATTTCATTTCACAATTACATAGTTTTATATTATTAATGTTTTGATTTGAAGTTTGATTCGAGCTCTAAATTTTTTTATAGTAAATTATTTTGTTGAATCCTACAAGAATTGCAATGCACAAATCACACACATAAATATTTCAAATTCTGATTTTATTTGTTTTTATTTTTATTTTTATAAATTTTATTTCTAATCCTGGATTATGAACTACAATTTTGATAGCTATGTATGTTTTGCACGAATTTAAAGGTGATATTATATTGCAATTAAAAAGGATTAAAACTTAGCTACAACTTATAAACTAGGCCAATGATGTCCTAGTAAATATCATAAGAAATATCCCTTAAAAATGATTTACAAACTGGTTGAATTTTTTTTACTAAAACAAAACCTTTTGATGTTAATTGGGTATTGAAATTTTAAATTGACAACTATTATAGAAGTATGAAATTCTTAAAAAAATATTTAATAAGACATAATTATAAAATATAAGCAATGATAGAATATGTATTATTTTAAATACCAAATACTGGTCTGAAAATATATACAACAACCATTTTGAAGTATTTTGATGGTGCAAAGATATAAAAGCCACTATTATAAATTATAAATTTCAAAAAAAACCTACCAAATAAATTAACATATAAAAATTGAATGAAATAAAAAAAATAAAATACTTCATTAAATTTTGCCAAATCTATTATTAAATCATTAGAAATAGACAATTCTATTTGCAAAGCTAAATTATTAAATTAAAAAAAATCCAATCTGCACACAAAACTTTACATGCACACAATAACAGAACTAAAAAACATTTATGATAAATTTTGATAACATGATATGTTATTGTTTGATGTTTTACTATGTCATAAAATACAGCAAATATTTACAATGTCACAGTTTATTGATAACATGACAACCAAAACAAAACAAAAAAGCGATACATATAACTTATTGATATTCACAGAGCCATTCAGTATGGACGAACACGCAGCGAACTCTATAAACATCGGTCCTCTAGAATTCAGCATGATTTCTAGCTATCAAAAAAACAAAAAAAAAACAAAAAACACAAACAGCCCTTCCCTTGCAAATTAAACTATTGCTTATATTGGCTTGTGTGCAAGTGGCACTCCATCGACATTATTTTTACAGCAAATACCTCACTTAACACAACATCGAACTGCGTCGAAATGCTTAAGTGTGAGGTCTCACTCTGATGCAATACTTGAAGCAACTTGTGTAACTTAATCGGTTTCTTTCGTGCAGTCGGTGTTGCGAAATCCTGTCGACTCGAGGGTGGAGTTCACAGTGTTTGGATCAGATCGATGAAATAAGAACGTTGTGACTGGAGTGTTGGATCCGAACCAACATTCGAGAAGGTGTTGGATGCAGCAGCCATGTCGAGGATCAGGGGTGGCGGGCGGGGATCGTGGGGATGGGACTCGATGGATGTGCATCGGTGATGTGGAAGACTCGATTGTGTCCAAAGGATCTCAACTACAAGGCAACAATCTTTCTGTTCCGTCTCGTTGTTGTTGTTTTGCACTTTCGTGCAGTGGGTGGGGCTGCGACCATTGGGTCACATCCTCCTTCTGCTCCTCCAATTGCGACTGTGGAGGACGAAAAGATTCAGCCAGGCTGCAAGGTGGACATAAAAAAAGGGTTGCCCAGCTGGGTTGTCCATCGCTGTGGGACCATTTCCGGAGGCTTGTCCTGCACGATTTAGCCTCGAGAATCGCAGCACTGCACTGCATTCCATCGGAGCTGATTTGGATCGGAGACCTGATGCATATCAGAACACAACTCTGATCCGACCTGCTATTTGTTTCCCACAGTGAAAACAATGTCGCCACGCAGCAATCGGAGTGTGTCGATTCAGTTGCATTAAGAGGAGCTTGGCTTTCCACATAAGCGCCAGTTGCTCACCAGTTCGATTGTTGTCAGTTTTCAAGCAAAGGTATTGAGGAGAAACGATTCAGCGCATGCTGATCGACATCTGTGAATGAATGATACAACCAAAACCCTTTAGGATACTGATCTCCTGTGATTTTTTTATTTTTTTATTTTGTTTTCTACAGGATCTGGATCTTAAATACTTTAGGTGCTGTGATAATTCAGAGGTTATAAGGCCACCCCTTCTGTGAAAATTTATCTGGACAGTCTCTGTAATCATCAGTTTTTTAGTATGATATTCAACGCATTATTTGATTGATGCTACATTCAATAATTTAGATTATTGTATGATAAGTAAACTAATAATGAACAATGGGGTTTGAAAACGAGAGTTTAATTTTATTTATTTATTTATAAACAATGCATGTACTTTAATTAGCATACACTACCTATTTTAGTATTCTGATGAATATTTTATACATTGTGCATAAATAAAGTATTCCCATATATAAAATTGTTTTCAGTATGATTAGATTCATTGGTGATAAAGATTAATATCAATGGTGGGAGGTATTTCTATAATTTGAATGTTCAATTCAATTCTAAGTTCAATCACAAGTCTTACAAAGAAATCAAATGTATCTAATTAATCATTTTATTGGGATACATATAACATTTCAATAAGTGATATAGATTCACATCTAAGGTCTATACAAAATTTTAAAAAATATTTTTTATACAAATATAATAACTTTTATGAAAGAAAGAAGTTTAAAATTAAGATAAATTTGATAAAAAAGACATGAATTTTTTAGTCACCTTAAACTCTCCTTTCTAAAATAGTGGATTAATGTTCTTTGTAATAGTATTCAATCTCTTAAACCAAAAGATTAAATAGATCTACATCCAAATAATTCAATAAGCCTACAACTTAACTTTTACAATCTTATACTATTAAATGAAAGTTATTAAAAATAAATAGTTTTTTCTTGCCAAGTATTAATAAAGTCAAGATATTCTAAGTAAGAGTACCATTCTAAACCTTGCATTGTAACCAAAAAATCTCTATAATCTTAAGTTAAAACAACACTAATACATATAAAGCCATAAGATCCACAATAGAAGACATAGCTGAATTAATTCAAATATTTCATTTAAAAATATTATACAATAAAATTAATTCGGTACTCATATTAAGTTACAACAAAAATATTTATATTTTAAAAAATCAACAATATATATATACATACACACACAGACATACATGTCTGTATTTGTGTATATAAAATTTCATGAAAACATTAATTTCGATTTAATACAAATAAGTATGAGCGGTATAATAATAGTTCTACTATAAAATTTTATTTTTATTTAGAAATATAAAATAAAATTATTATAAATTATTATTTTTTTCAAAGAACCAAAACAATTCAAAACTTGTAAAATATACCTCAACTATACCTCAAACTTCACTTATCTAAATAAGAGCAATTGGTAAGATATATATATACATATTTTAAATTCATACCTTGTATTTTAATGCAAACTAGAATGCAAAAGTAAAAAAAAAAAAAAAAAAAAAAAAAAAAAATGTAATTTAGTTTATATAAAATTAAATGTTATTCTTAGACAACTATTTAAGAGTTCTAACAATTTTTGAACTTATGTTAAGATTTGTTAAGAATAAACCATTTTAAAATGGATTCCCTGAGTAATTGGTTTCATGATAGATATTGTATTTAAGAATAAATTTAGAATGACAACCCGGTTTCCTTGTGCCGAGTTTTAGGGCCCATCTGGGTACCCAGTTTTGAACAATTTCTAACACCTTCACTTGTTGCCATATTAGAAAACTCGTATGAAAACAATCTTGTTGCAAGCTCTTCCACGTTAGTGCAGGCTGTGGCAAGCGGCGCAAAGGCTCAAGCTTGCCACCATCAGCGTTAGCAAATGGAAATGTAGTCATCGTGGAGTGTGCGGTGCGTCCTTCAGGCTCACTCAGACGAGCTCACATGAGCAATGGCTTCAGTGTGTTTTTCGCCACAGATCTTCAACTTCTTTCCTCTTGGCAAGTTTCTTTGTTGTTTTCAGACGA